TGATTTGAAAGTAATTACTTTGTGGCTCAGGTGCAACTCAGGTGGCATTGCAGGCAGGAATATTGGGAGCAATATATATTAAGGCCTATGTAGCCCAGGCTGGAAAGGATTAAAGTTTTTCCCTAGATCTTATAACTGAAAATCATCAACTGAAGTCCCAGAAACTCAGTAATGTGCTGCCATAAACATCTGGACCACATATATAACCACAGACCATAAATATATACCTCCTGAATGCTTGTACCTACATTATACACGGCAGCTTATGAATTCACCTAAGCGGAAAGATGTACGATTAAAAGCAAACGGCTAATTACAATTAAAACAAACAAGGATCATTGAACACTAGATGTGAGTCTTCATGTTTAAAATGTGAATTCTTGGATTTTTTTGATTATACAGTATTTATAAGTGCTCTCTTAATAGAAATGCTGTGACTTTACAATAACCATGTGTTTCTCCACATTGTGGATTTCTTAAATTGCTCTTTTTGGTGCTGTGATGTTGTTGCCAGCAACAAGCAGATTCCCATTAATTAGACCAACTTGTTAATCAAAAGAAAACGCAGAGAACTTTATTTGGTGATCTTAAAAATAAACTGCAGATTTTAGTTGTAACAGCAGCAAGAAAAGCAGTATTTGAAGCAGCAAAGAACAAAGCATTTGCCAGCCATTACTGATCATGAAGAACAATTGGCAGTAATTCATTTTTTAAAAGTTAAGTCCTTTGAATCTGCTTTCCATATGTTTTAAAACTTTCCAGTACAAAGCCACCCGTAGGTTTACACAGTTTTTTTTCTACCATCCGCACAACATCCTCTCCATTAAGATGGGAACTGGTAATAATCAGTCTATTTTGCTGGCAATAAATATGCTAGAATTTCAGCAATTCTAATATTCATAGCTCTTTTGAAAATTCTGACTTTTTTATTGCAGCCCAAAAGTATTATGCGAAATGCAATACTCATTGCTTCAGTGTATTGACCAATTTGCTTCAATCTGTTAATCTTTTATGATATATGAAAATGATGCTATAAATGAGAGGAGCTTGTGGTTACACAGTGAAAACATGTCACAAAAATGACCACCATCAGAACGGAAGAGGAAAGACTGTGGAAGGACTGTTCCTGATACCACGAAGAAGATTTTCTTACGGAGAGTAGCTTTTTTTGGCAAGAGTATAAATCTCTCGTTGTTCCCCTTTCCATTAGTCTTCTGAGGCCATGAATTGACTGTAGTTAAGAGAGTGTCCAGGCAACCAGCTCCCAGACTTCATGTCCCTTGCCTGTCCTGCCCTACTTTGAGTGGGCAAACTTTCAGTCGTTCTGCACCTGCTCTCTGGAAATCCAACCTGTAGTACCTCCATTTCAATCCCTCCCTTTAAAACACGCCTTAACACCATTTTTTGGTCACTTATCCCCCTCCACCTTCCTCAGCTCTTTCCACCCCTAGCTCGGGCTCCCAGACAGTTCTGTGAAGACATTGAGACATCCTCCTTGTGTGAAAGCCGCTATATAAATGTAAAATTTTTGTTGTTCCTCTCTGAGTGAAAATTGTTTTCCATCCTTAGTTTTCAATTATTATAATTACTCACAAAGTACATAAAAACAACACTTAACTGTTTAGGTGCACATATCCTCTACATCATTAACAGAAAATGCCCTCCTTATTACATAGTGGGGTACTGCTAAGGCTTCATTGTTCACACACCAGAGATGGATAATTGAAGCCACACTTGGAGTGGCTTCAGTTATTGAGAGCTGACAATTCCTCCATCAGCCCTGACCAAGGCAGCTTTTTCTCACCTCTAGCCAGCTCAAGTAGGTGAAGGGAAAGAGAGTAGTCTAATCCATTTGAGACTCTGTTCACATTTTCTGAATATAGAAGTCAAAAAAGGATGAAGCAAAGGTTTGTAAAGGGGCTTGTATTGATTCTGCCATTGGATAGAAGCATGACGAAATAAATGTAACAATAAATCTATAGTATTGCACATAGATAAGACATAATCATGTTTAATTAGAGCTTGAATACTCAGGATATTGCTGTTTTTTATACTGCTGGAAGTCAAGTACATTTACTTCCAGTAGATGAGCACTATGAAGTGGGAAGGTTCATTTAGAATTCCTGCTCCTCACTTCATTAATCAGGAGGACCTACTAAAAGCTAAGACTTGGTTTTGCAAAGCTACTTGTGCACAGGCTTCCAACATTTGGCTTTTTTTAACATTATTAAAGAGATCATGTTGGAACCATTTCTTTAATAACATTAAAAGAATTCCTGTGAAATATCTCAGGCCTTCCAGTGGACCACCAAATAAACTTTTAAGGAATATTGGGCATGACACTGATTTGCACTGCTGCATTTATACAACTTGGGAACTATCTCCTTTAGGTCATAATCATAGCTTTAGAAATTAGGGTGGAACTGAAGAGCATTGCATTTTCTAAGAAGGTATTGGCAGTTTACTGAATAAATGTATGCTTGTGTACTGTTGAGTTCATGTTATGGAACGGCTTGTTGAGAGGTAGGTTGCAAGCTAAATCCACTCTTTAAAAACAGATAAATTCTTACCGCATCATCTAATACAGGATAATTACAGTATAATATTCTCAATGGAATCTTGAGAAAAATGCAAGTTTAAGAAAAAGAAAATCAAAAAGATTTTGATCTGTGCACAAAGACAGCCATGTACACTTGAGAAGGTTAAATTGAAACTTATTCAGTATTATTATCATTAGCGTGGAACAATGTTTGCTTTCATCTTGTGTTTTTGATTTTGTTACTCATTGTTTTGTACGGCAAACCTTCTATAACAATGGAATACAAGATAATAAGCCTACTCTACACTGCTGGAGATTGTAATGTGGTTATCATGACATTCCGGTGGATAACAGAGAGCTATGCATAAATCATGCTGTTGAATGCTTTAAACAGATCATACTTCTTCCATCCCAGTATACATCAACTCTAAAATGTTCCTTGGAACTATTATTGAATAGTTAAAAAGAACCATGAGCCAATATTATAAGAATGCCTCTGGTACTGCTTTTGATCTGTTTAACTCATTCTGTAAATGCTGACTGTTGGCAAGTACAGTATTAATGCTTCCTCTGTCATTAATCAGATTGCTCATTTATAATAATTTACTGCATGTTGAATAAGGTTGGGAGCGAGTTACGTCTGCAACAAAATCATGGGGTTGTGATATCCTAAACTGTGAGACAAAAATTGGAGCGCGAGATTGAATGAAGTATGATGTGAAATTATTTCCTTTAGCTTCTCTTTTTTTAATGTTTCATTTAATGTACTATACTGTAGCAATGCTGTTCTGTATGTGCTTTGCCTTTTGCTGCAGTTTGTTTTAGCTTTTAGAGGTTAATGATACTGATTGGTAACATGTATTTCTCCTTGGACGGCAGTACAGTTTTGTTTTCTCATTCAGCAAGCTGGCAAGATCAAATGTTTAGATTTAAATTCAACATTACCTGAGATCGTCTCCAGGATTACTCGGAGGGCAATGTGATGTGATACTGAGCCTTACAGAGCAGGCAGAAGAAACCTGTTTTAAATAATAATAATCCTTCCATTTGATATAGCGCCTGATACAGGACTCCATATTAAGTGCTCTGAGACGCTATCCCGCGTGAAGGCTGCTATATACATGCAAGTTGTTGTTTGTCTTATCATGCTTGCGGAGTCCTGTAGCTTAGTTGTTAGAGCACTCGCCTCACAAGCGAGAGACCTGGGTTTGATTCGCGGCAGGGCTAAATGTTGGGCAAATTTCCTTACTCCACACGCTTGTATTTACCGAGCAGTAATAGGAACCTGGTTGTTAGTCGATTGGCGGATCGCGTTTCTGGGGGTAATAAATCCTTCAAAAAAATAATAATTGCTCACTTAAATGCACGACTGTTTGTGGGACACCGCTGTGTGCAATTGGCTGCCGCATTTCACCCACAAAATACACAGTCAATTCACTTCACAGTATATTCTATGAAGCGCTTTGAGCCGTCTTGAAAACGTAATAAGGTGCTATATCAAACACAAGTATCATTATCATGTCTTCGATAAATACACAAATAAATACTCCAAAAGTAAACGAGGATAAAAATAGGAGTGTAACTTATTACTTGAATTTTTTGATCTATGTAATATAGAACAACAAAACAGCTTACATTTATACAGCGCCCTTCGCATAGGATAACATCTTGTACTTAATAGAGGAGAAAACCTACATTTTTGATACCAATAGGGACAACAGAATGATGTCTAGCTGAGTACGATTAAAAACAAAGTGGCTTACTTGTATTACAATTTTCAAATGTTTGCTGACCATTTCAACATGCAGCTTGCTCCAAGTAACTTGCAAATATCATGTTACCTCTTGTCAACCTGCGCCTAAACTTTCTAGGATTATGTAAGCAGATTGCATCCCTCTGAGGAGACAGTGTAGACTCGCTTCCAGACCAGCCACATTTGCTGTTCAAATATGGAACTCTCAGCAGTTTGGTTTGCAGACTCTTATTTATGGTAATTGATCAGACACCTGGCTGACTAAAGCAGAAAAAGGGAACGTTAACATTCAATTCTGGATGAGGAGTGAATGGTACTTGTTTGGAAATGCAAGCCACTTCTAGAACTGATGTATTGGACAACAAAACAGCGCTGAGCCAATTTCATGCTTACATTCTATTGCATCACTTGGCAGTTTCTCCATGAAAACTGAGATTGTACAACTTGACAAGTCTTGCAGATTTGTGCAAATTGAGCAGACCTCAATTGTGATTAAGTGGTGACTGTTGTAAGCCAACCACATTTTTTCTTTTTGAAAGTATGGTGTGTTGTGTTATTATAACTATGATATCTAATTAGGAATTGGCTGAGGTCCAATTTGTGTTATGGCAGTGGTATGAGCAATATTTCTTGTTTATTAATACAAAATATTTTGCTCAAATACACAGTTGCCACTTATTTATTTATTGTTCTGTATTTGGTTATCAGATTAATTCAGTTATGAATTTGGAGCAAGACCGACCATTTATTTGCAACGCTCCAGGCTGTGCACAGGTGAGTATTATACTATCTTCATAAGGGCTTCATTGTAAAAATATATAAATAAAAAAAGGGTAAAAATATGTTGTGACAATTATCCAATATTTAATGTAAACCATACTCAAATTGAAGAAATTAAGTGATTTTTGCACTATCTTGAAAAATCTGAAAGTTGATTAAAAACAGAATATATTTCTCTATTGTTATTCTTGGCGTAACTCCAAAGTTTGTCTTGTATTTTGAAGATTGGGACGAAAAGACAGAAAATTACACATCATCGAAAAGTACAATCCAAACCTGTGTTACGTTATTGACAGTTTTGGGAGTGAACTTCTATCCTCCCCTGATATTAGTTTGTTGAGCTGTCTATGGATCTACTCTTTTTGTTTTTGCAGCTTGTGTCTTTTATTCCCACAGTACAAAATACGAGCCAAACTTTGAGTTGCTCTGGCAACTCTACGTTTACAATATGGAAATAAATTTTGTTTTAATCAGATTTTTCAAGATACTGCAAAAAAACACTTAATTGCTTGAGTTTGAGTATGGTGTATATTAAGTATTGGATGTGAGGGAGAAACCAGGACTCGTATCAAAAGTTTTCATTGGGTCCTGGTAGATATTCTTAATATCCGCCTCCACTTCGTCTCAGCAAATGGCTTCTCCTCCAGCCCCCGCACCATCTTGTGAGGTGTTCCTCAGGGCTCTGTCCTCAGTCCCCTCCTCTTCACCCTCTACATGCTCCCCCTTGGTGACATCATCCGCAGTCATGGGATAAATTTCCACATGTATGCAGATGACACCCAATTCTGTCTCTCTGCCTCCACCCTCAACTCCAGGACTACTGGCGTTGACTCCACTGGCCCCCCATCCCTCAGCGGATCGAATTCAAGTTCCTCATCCTCACTTTCAAGGCCATCCATTGCCTTGCCCCCTCCTACCTCTCTGACCTGCTGAGTCCCTACCAACCTGCCCGCTCCCTTCGTTCAGGGGGCTCTGGTCTGCTCCATGTCTCCCACCTGACCCACCCTACCATCAGTGGCTGAGCTTTCAGCCTCTCTGCCCCCACACTCTGGAACTCCATCCCACAGTCCCTTCGCCTCGCTTCCTCCCTTACCTCCTTCAAGGCCAGTCTCAAGATCTTCCTCTTCGATCGTGCCTTTGGTTTCCCTCCAACCTCTCTGCCTTCCCTCACCCCTACCCCACCCCTCCCCCATGCTTGGGTCCTGACCCCTGACTGTCCAGCTCCTTTGGGATGTCCCCCTGACGTGAAAGGTGCTTTATAAATGTTATTTTGTTGTTGTTGTTAATAGAATCAGATTCTCTGTGAGACCAAATTGATTAAAAGCATACAGAATAAAGAATTACTGATTTTTTTAAAAAAGCTGAGCTATTGCTATTCCTCAATGCTAGTGAGTTAATGGAAATTTTGTTTGTCTAACAGCGATTTCCAACTGAGGATCATCTTATGATTCACAGGCACAAACATGAAATGACTCTGAAGTTTCCGGCAATAAAAACAGACAACATTTTATCAGGTAAGAGCAAAATGATGTTGGTGATGAGTGAAGAGTGAAAATGTTCTCTCTAGGAAGGTAACCTTCTTAAGTGCTCTGGGACACTACCCCAAGTGAAGGATACTATATAAATGCTTCTTGATGTTGTTGTAACCGGCATTACATACTGCAGCACAATACCAAAACTTCAAGATCGGTACTCAATTAAAACCTATAATATTTTAGGGGTGATTCTTCTTGGGTTGTTAAATTGAAGTTCCTTCCTTGCTGAGGATATCTATTCTTTACTGGGTGGTTAATTTATAAGTTCTGGTCTTTTTTTATGGATTCACCCATTATAAACTCTTACTCCCCCAGGAATCCTAAAGAGAGTCATCTCTGAAGTGTAAATAAAAAACAATGTAAGCAAGTATCTCGTACCCCGTGGGGTGGCTTCACAAAGCACAAAGCAATTAACTGTTGGGCTACAGAAATATAAATTAATACTTTTTCTCCAGTTAACATTGTAACCAGATTATGTTATGGACATTCTTGTAATGTGATAAAATCTCCACCTACTGTATGTACTCAATATTTAGACATGTGTCCTTCAGGTGTGATTCCACATTTCAGCAAAGAGTGGTGCTGGCAGCTTAATATATGACTTGCCTATGTGTTAGACTCCTGTTGGTTCTAATTGTTTAGTTTATTCTAGTATAAAAACACGGGTTTAAAGAAATAAAAATTAAATCAACTTTAAATTGATGTATGTGATCGCATGTCAGACACAAGGTTTGTCTTAAACTGGGGATTCAATCTGGGGATTGGATTCTTATAGTGAGTGGACTTCTGCACTTTGAATTTTTTTTATATATGGGTAAAATACTATTAAAATTTATTTTACTTCCCCCTCTGATTTTTCTCCCCTTTTCCCTCCTCTCCTGAAGATGGTGACTTATGCTGGGTATGGTTTCATCAGCAGTGGCAGCCCTCTGGTACCTCACCAAGTGGTCATCCGTCATGTGTGAGACTGGACGGTGAGTGCCAAAGGGTTATTTAACTATGAAGCCAAATCCAGGCCTCACCTGCAGGTGTTCGTCCACACGTGCAGTTCAAGTGGGAGGTTGCCGGATACCAATCAAGAAGGTGAACCCTGGCTACATTTTTTCAGGGTCCATTTCATGATTAGTGTCTAACACTTCTTTAAATTTAAAAATTCATAATGTATTGATCAGGAATTACTTGGATCCTGTAGCTCAGTGGTTAGAGCACTCGCCTCGCAAGCGAGAGACCTGGGTTCGATTCCCGGCAGGGCGAAACCTTGGGCAAGTTTCCTTACTCCACGTCTGATAATAATCCCTCAAGAAAAAAAACCAATAATAAATTGGTCACTTCAATCCACGTTTGTTGCTGCGCTGCTGCGCTTCATCCACAAATATACAATCAATTCACTTTACAGTGTATTCTATGAAGCGCTTTGGGACGTCCTCCCGACGTGAAAAGCGCTATATCAAATGCAAGGATTATTATTATTATTATTATATCAAATGCAAGGATTATTATTATTATCTTTATCTTTCAGAGAACCCCTCCCCCCCACCCCGTCGCCACTGGGCACTGTCAGCAAACTTATGCCAGTTTCTGTTAAACTGGTTTGTGGCTTTGATTTTCAAATTATGGATCATGTTATTTGACTGCCAGCGAGAGGAATGTTTTTATTTCTAAAAAGCTCAGAGTAACCTGCAATCTCACTTTCTAGTAGTTGAAGTTGATTGGTTATCCCAGGATAGAGGAGGCTGAAGGAAAAAAGGGGAAGCTGTTAGTTCCCATCCCAGTTTCAGAAAAATGACAGAAAAGACAATTATAGACACACACAGAAACTAAATCTGATCGTGGAGAATACTAAGTCCTAGGATCAAATCCCTGTTCCTCCCTCTCACTCTGTCACAATTTACTAAAGCAGAGGCAGAGATAGTCAACAGAGTTTAGGCCCAAAGCACCAGCTATAATCTATTAGACATGACCTAGTCTTATAAAATGTATCATTTTCCACTGACAATATGTCAGACAATATCTAACTGAGCTATTTTTCTAATTTTTTTTCATATTGGAATCAACATAAAGCAGTGTTAAATTCACTTCTAGTCCAAAATACTATTATTCCTGGTTGGAAGGTTGATGGGAACCCTAATAAGCAGGGACGGCGGTCAAGAGAGATTGAGATTGAGTCTTGGACTTGCCTCTTTTGGCAATTTAACATTATGACTGGAATCTAGTGAAAGACCAAAGTACACAGCATCTCCACTGTATATTTGAGGTGGATAAGTTCCAGTGATCTATTTGCTTCTGGATATAATATAATATATTTGGCAAAGAAACTCTACTGTATGATTCTTTCTTTCTTCAATTTTTCCCCTTTTTCATAGTGGGATATGGTCTCTGAGCAGGTAAAAGGGAAATTCAAATATGTTGATCAAAGGCATGGTCAAACAGATACATTTTTAGGAATATTTTGAAGTGGGGAAGAGATTTCCAGTAAAGGGTTCTTTTAAAAGAAAGGCTATGGAGGCTCATCACCAATGGTGGAGTGGATGGAAGGGAGCATCAAATTGAGAATTGACCACAATCGGAAGAGTGAAGGATATAGGCAGAGAATAGAGCTGGAGGATATTGCATGGATAAAGTGGGGTGAGACAGTGGAGGAATTTGTCCCTAGAAAAACTGAGAGCCAATGAAATGTGGCAAAGACGGGGACATTGTGGAGCAATTAACATAATAAAGGCCCTTAACTGACCCTCTCATGGTCAGTTATTGGTGTTTAATCTGTGTGGGATTAAACTAATGGACTTCCAGTTTTCCTCTGAAATAATCAGTACTGAGGCCCACCCTCCTTGCCACCATTATTGGATTCCTGATCATAAAGATGGAATAAGGAAATAAATAAGTCCCTCTTAGAGATAACTAGCACCTCCAGTGTCACCAACTAATTAGAAATGAACTAATCTGCAAATACCCAATGAAAATCTTCTACTTCAAAGTAGCGTAGGTCATTATAGATAATTAAATAAGGAAAAGGTCCAGACATAATCTAAAACTAATTATGAAAATTGTTACAGGACTTCCAGTGTTGATCTTTGAACCGGGAATAATAGTGTTTGTTTATTGCACTTGACTTTTTATATGTGGGATCACGATGGAAGTGACTCACATGAAGAAAAACGCAGCACAGACTTGACGGTCTGAAGAGCCTGTTTCTGTGCCATAACACTCTAAGCTCCAAAATAATTGTGCCATATTATCTCTGGCACTCTAAAGGTTAATATAAATGATAGTGTTCAGTGAGGGCTTTGAGTCTTGTTTACATTCTAATGAGCACAACACAATCAAGCATTTAAAACCACAGTAAGAATACCCTGGAACACAGATTTCTAAATGTTTCAGATGATCTGTCTCATTATCAATCATACAGATAGCTCTTGCCTCAATGTATTGTGCTGATATGTGAATCCAATCAAAACCATACACCAGTTATACTTTGCTGTATCACTAAGCACAATGACAAGCATAGGCACAAGACTGTCACGCTGTGCCAACACAAATCCCTTGAAGTTCCATGGATTCACGTTGCTATTTAGAGTCAGAGAGAGTGGTAGCACAAATGCACGTGTTGATATGCATGTACTTATAATACACATCCTCATTTCAGTGGATATGAAATCAGGTCTATTTTAGCAACTATAAAAAAGGATTGGTCCAAATCTTGCAAAACTGCACACAAGAAGGCTGGATACCAGAAAGGCACCATTCATCTTAAGCAATGTGTGGTTACAAGCTTCAACCTCATTAGATAATAATAATAATAATAATCCTTGCATTTGATATAGCGCTTTTCACGTCGGGAGGACGTCCCAAAGTGCTTCACAGAACACACTGTAAAGTGAATTGACTGTATATTTGTGGGCGAACGTGGCAGCCAGTTGCGCACAGCAATGTCCCACAAACAGTCGTAGATTGAAAATGACCAATTTTTTTATTATTGTTTTTGTGTTTTGGAGGGATTATTATTAGGCGTGTGGAGTAAGGAAACTTGCCCAAGGTTTTGCCCAGCCTGGAATTGAACTCAGGTCTCTCACTTGCAAAGCGAGTGCTCTAACCACTGAGCTACAGGACTAGATGGTATTACTTTGTGTCTCTATTGAGTATTTCTTTAATCCCAGTGGATAAAGTAGTCAAGGTTCAAAGATTTTCCAGAATTGTAAGTCTTCAATTGATAAAGGGATCTCTGGGGACTGCTCTGAAGGCTGAAAACATTTATTTTGTGAGTAGCTGAGCCACATGGTAGTTTTAATCTCTGGTGTGTGCTGAGTTAGGCTGGACTCAGCTGGATAATAATTGGGTGTGACAATTGGCCCCACCAGTGGGGAAAATAACCCAGGGATTGTATTCCCAATTGCCATTAATTGTCCCCTGTTGAAGATGTGCATTTGTTGATATTGAGTATGGAAAGAATTGGGCTCAGCTGCCATACCCCCAAAACAAATAACCAACTAACATTCACTTTCTCATGAATAATGGCCATATGGCAAAGGTACTGCTAGGATGACTGGCGCTTGGGGGATTGTACCTCAGTAGCAGAAACAAGGCATCAAACAGCTTCAGGACAGCAGTGTAAAACAATTCTGTACTGCAAGAGAAAAACTAAAGGGAAGCTCTTATGTGAAGTTTGAACAAATATAAACTGTCCCAAATTATAGTATTTTCATAACCACATGTGATATTCTGAATTGGCTGCTGTTTGTAATAAGTCATTTCTGACATGTAGAACACAAATTCCTTATCACAGTATCCATTTACAGCGAGTGTTGCCCTCTCCCCTGCTGTGAGGCAGTGATGAACATTACTGCTGCATCCTGTTGGTCTAGGCACGTCACTTAATGTATCAAGCCAACATTCTCTGCACTGACCCCATGCTGAAGTCAGAAGAGACTTGGTAATTTTATCACAGATATGCATGAAGCATTTCTATTTTTATGCCTTTTGTT